ATCTTAGAAACTGGGTCATTTTATCAGAGTCTAGTCAGATACAGAAAAAGTTTGTGGCTATTTCTCCAATTTATATGACTAAGATCAGTTATGTTTTTCAAAGGGTCTAATTGAAATTGACAAGGCAGCAATTTAAAGTTGCTATTGCAAGGGCAGAAAATGGTGTTAAGAAAGCCAGCTGTCAAATTGAATAAACATGACTGCGTTCACTTTTTGAGCTTATAAATGAAGCCCAAGTGCCTGCCAAAACCTGCTGCAGTCAGCCCACGAGCAGAGCAGCGTGAGGAGCAGAGTCTCTGTTTTCCCGGCAAAAGGAGCAATACTGCTCTGCCGCGGTTCCGCGTTGTCGTCTGTGCCACCTGCTCATCACTGTCACCGTATTTCATCCTGATGCTTCAGTTCATCTCCCACTTATCAGTCGCTGTGACAGTCATTCCCTCATAAGTGGCGAGCCAGTGTGATTTTACCCTGACTCACACTGTTGCATTAGCAGATTTGTAAAGAAGTGAGCACAAGGTCCCTGCCCACACTAGAAAAACGTGCCTCATGCCCGGCGAGAACAAAGACAAAATACAGTCTGGGCTTCCCGAAGGCCACTGATGAGTAATGATTGGCATAGAGGGGCCGCGTTGCCAGGTTTTAGAGATCCTGAGGGCCAAGGCTGACTCTTCTGTTGGTGTTATGTTCAATTCTATTTCCAGTGCCACAATAGAGTGATATTTAAGCAACTCCTACAGGCGAAGGCCCTGCAGTTCCTCCAGATTGACAGTTGCAGACTGGGCAGTGTCAATGAGAACCTCTCGGTATTGCTGATGGCCAAAAAGTTTGAAAGTAAGGGTGCTGCAGTGGCTGCAGACCAGACCTTCATTTCCCCACTAATCAGACACCTCCCTTGATGGCTTGCAGTTCACACGCGGAGCCTCTAGTTTGCCATTTTGATTTCTTCTAACTCATTTAGCCTTAATCCGGGAATTATTGATGATTTTCATCTTGGAATTTCATCCCTAAATATTAATGAATGATTTAATCACCTGTGGGCAATAAGAAAAACCAGAAAGTTCCCTTTCACCCCTTCCTCTCCCTGCCCTACTCTTGGTATTAAGTAGAAACAATTTCCTTTTAGTTCCTGTTTGCCCCCATGCTGGTGGAGTTGGCCTCTGTGAACTGGTGCAGCACTTGATTATATTTGACTACATATCAGTCTCTGCAAGCCTTAAAAACAGGTCAGTAATGTGGGATTAATACTTTCTGCTTCAGTAGGGTCCCTCAATCTAGGCCAGAGCTTGTAAATTCTGCCTTCATGACCAAAAAACACTAAGACCTTGTCCACTGGCCCGTCCTGTAACTCTCAGGCGGAGTGGGTTCTGCTTCCACTTCTCCACACAGGGCAGTAACAGCAGAGACCCACCAACGAACAGTCATTTTGCCTCCTAGGATAGGGTCTGGTAGCTGACTCACTTTATTTTTTAAGTACATTGAAAGTGAGGCTTGCAACCACACTACTCCCTTAACCAGCTCCTGTTTTCATCACGTGTATTCTGTACTTCTGTCCCATCTCCTCTTCCCAGTACTGGAGTCTTCCATGGTGTAGACATACATTTATTTCATCTTATTTCTCAGAATGCCCCAGTTGGTCTTTTAAATTAGGACAATCTCCTTCCAGTCATCTGCACACATAGTGTTTTGCTTATTACACTTTTCTTGTCTCCTGGAATTAAATGTCCCACAGAAAAATCACTGCAAGTATATAGCAAAGGCAAAAAAGCATTCACCGGGAAAGGGAAACGCCAAATTCAGGACTGAGAAAGATAAATGGGACCCTTGAGGGTACATAGGCGGCTTCAGTAATAATGGTAACCGTTTCTCTCTTCGGGGGGGTAGTGAGTAGACAGGTGCTGTCTTTTAATATAGCGGAACTATTTTATACTGTGTTAGTCTATTGCACTGCTATAAAAAAATACCTGAGACTGGGTAATTTATAAAGAAAAGAGATTTAATTGGCTTACAGTTCTGCAGGCTGCACGGGAAGCATAGCGACTTCTACTCAACTTCTGGAAACTTGCAATCATGGTGGAAGGCAAAGGGGGAACAAGCACTTCTTACGGCAAAGAGCAGGAGGAAGAGAGAGTGAGGGGGGAAGATGCTACATGCTTTTAAACAACAGATCTTGTGATAACTATCTCGAGAATAGCACCAAGGAAAGGGTACCAAACTATTCATGAAGGACCACTTCCCATGATCCAATCACCTCCCAGCAGGCCTCGCCACCAACACTGGGGATTACAGTTCAACATGAGATTTGGGCAGGGACACAAATCCAAACCATATCAGCCTGCCTGTCACAGCTGTTCAATAACAGGTGATGGAAGTCAGGCAGCAGATCTCGGTTGGTGGCCCCAAGGCTCAGAACTAGAAAGTGGCTGACGCAGAACCTGAACCCAGATTGCCCCGATTCTAAATCCTCTGCTCTTCATCTCAATCATTTGTATAGCTGAAAGGAACCTCATTTGGTGATTTTATTTTTTGGGTGGAGAGCATGGAATATATTTTATTGTTCTGCATCTGGGTTTGGTTCCCTAGATGTCTCGGTCCTTAGATGGAGGTGGGTGTGTCCCACCTCCCTCAGTTGTGGTCCCATGGACCTGTTCGGATTGTTTATCAGGTGCAAAGTGCACCGAGAAAGTCCACAGTGCTAATGCTTCCTAGATGCCCAGCTGAGGCAGTGACAAAACAGCCCTCCCAGCCAAAAAACCCCAAGCCCCTGGCAGCTAATGCAGCCATAGGAAAAAATACAAACACTTCTTAGATCACAAAATGTGGTGATTTTAATCTATTCATCTAACTTTTGACCAGAGGAACCCAAATAATTCCGGATATTTAGAGTCTGAATTGATGCCTTTTAAAGGGCATCACAAAACCTCTAGAGGGACTTCGTGTGTTCATTTCATCCAAGTCCCCACCCCACATTGCTATATTTTAGAAGAAAAGCACCTGAGGCACAGAGGTTTAGGAACTTGCCTAGAAACACATGGTAACACAGCTAAGCCTTGGCCCACACTGTCATTTCTGAGTGGTACTCGCCCCTTCTGCTTTAAGTTAGCACCGTGTGAATAATCCGACTTCAGACATCATTGCCCCAATCTGTTTCTCCTAGGATGTGTGAGTATGTTGACCACCTGCACGAGCATTTCAAGTATCCCGTGATGATGCAGCGGGCTTCCTACATGCCTCCCAAGGTGAGCTGTGGCCTGGGGGCCCCTGCAGAGATGCTGCCAGCCACTACCATGCCTGTCTCGTGAACTAGACCATGGAGCACCAAGCTTTGACTCCTATTTGCAATATCCAGAAACAAACGGTTCTTCAGTTGTCAGTATCAAAATCCTCAGGCCTGAGGGCCAGGGCTTGGAGGTTAAATTGCCTCTGACAAGGCTTCTGTAACACTAGCCTTTCCTCACCAGTGGAGATCTTAACATTTGCACTCCTTGTGCAAAAAAACCTGGCACCATTAGCAAGTTAGTGACCTAAAAAGTTTTGACTACAATTGTGTGGTTAGGGCCGTTTATTCTGATCATGTTCAAGAGACCATGACTCATTTTCACCAACAGAGGTCAAACTATTATCAAAGTTTGATGAGTTAACTAACTGGCAAGTAGCCAGTAAAATGTGTCCCTCTGCCCTATTTCCAACAATCTCAAAACTTATTTTAAAAATATTAATTCGGGGCTGGGTGTGGTGGCTCACGCCTGTAATCCCAACATTTTGGGAGGCCAAGGCAGGTGGATCATTTGAGGTCAGGTGTTTAAGACCAGCCTGGCCAATATGGTGAAACTCCGTCTCTACAAAAAAATACAAAAAATTAGCCAGGCATGGTGGCAGGTGTCTGTGATCCCAGCTACATGGGAGGCTGAGGCAGGAGAATCACTTGAACCTGGGAGGTGGAGGTTGCAGTGAGCCAAGATTGTGCCACTGTACTGCAGCCTGCGCAATGGATGGAGTGATTCCATCTCAAAAAATATAAATAATTACCTCTGGCTTAGACGTAAAAGCATTTCTTGGAGCAGCATAAATACATAAAATCTGTTTTTGTTCCAGTTGGTTGTTAACATGCCTCATTTTTTTTGGTCTTTGATAGGATCCCGGCTACTCAACAGAAATGAAGGAGGAATCTGTAAAGAAACACCAGTATCCAGATGGTGAAGTTTGGAAGAAACTCCTTGCTGCTCAAGAAAATTAAGTGCTCAGCCCCAACATCTTTTTTCTTTCTGAAGTGAAAAGGCTTAAAATTTCTTGGAAATAGTTTTACAGAAATGGATTTTTAAAAATCCTACCAAGATTAGTTCAATGAAAAGTCATACCACCCTCAGGAATCAGCTAAGTAATTATTACTTGATTCTTTTAGCAAATCAATACACATTATCCTACTTAATAAGTCTAGATTTAACTAACCCAAAGTCCAGGAAGATGTTCTTACAAAATATCAAGGGCTGGCACCTAGACATTAAACTGTACTTTGAAAATAAGCAACATGTTGCATAACTTGTTGGAATAATTCTTGGTTCTATTTAACACTTGTCATAAATTAGCAGAATAAAAATAGTCGTGCAACACCAGGGGGTATCTGGTACGAAGTGAAGGGAAAAAGATTTCACTGATTAACCCTGAAGTGGTTATGCATCTTTTTCTTGCTTAATTATTAGAGAAGTCACACCATGCTGAAGCTAATGAGGACAAAATGGTAGTCCATAGACTATTTTAAAATAACCCTTTAAGGTTATAAGTTAAAAAAAAAAAACTCTATCCTAAATGGTCATTATATTTTGAGGATAAGATGCAGTTAAAATGAGAAAAATAGGACAAAATATAGTCACTATTTCTAAAATCTACTCTTTTAAGTAGCATCCAAACCAGAATATAGCACATGTTTACTTAGGAGAGTTCTTTAAATCTATTTTAGGAAGGAACTGAGCAGGTAAGTGGCACTACAGAATGAACAAAGTGTGGACAAATGCAGAACCCTTCTTTATTATAGCAACATATAAAACGACTGTAACTTTAAATGTTCATAACCACACGCTACATCATGATTGATGGTGTTACTCAGCTCCCGCAGATTTGAGGGAAGCTTGTGAAATTCTTAAAATTCACCAACCTTCTTTATAAGGACGTGGGATTGCAATGCACGCACGTGTTTTTGCTAAGAGCACATACGTTTCATTCTCCTTTGTTCATCATCTCAGCGTTTTCAGATACCCTCAGTGAGTTAACTCAAAGCCTTTTATTATGGAAAGAACTGGCAGTTATATTTGCCAGAGGCAACATCCTTAAAAATTAATAACTGATAGGCCACGGACAGATTTTTGACCTAGTCCCTTTTTCTTTTAGAGCAAAAAGAACTTTTACCTCTGCATCCAGCCCAACCCCTAAAGACTGACAATATCCTTCAAGCTCCTTTGAAAGCACCCTAAACAGCCATTTCCATTTTAATAGTTGGATGTGGATTGTACCCTTCAATCTGAAAGTCTTCAGCTTTGAAGTCATCAATTTTCTCAACTTTTCGGAGAATTTTGAGCTTTGGGAAAGGTCTGGGTTCTCGCTGAAGCTAAAAAAAAAAATAAGATCATTATTTTGCCATAATTGTACAACCTGTAGTAATTGCTCCTCACGTGCATGAAACAAGCACACAGGAGGTGATCAACAAAGTTTTATTTTACAGGAGTATGATCCTGTCGATACCTTGCCGTAGGTTATGTAACATGATTGGAGCGCAACCAGCTGTTTTCTTGCACAGATCAAGAGTAAAGGGTATTTTGTGACATTACAGTGTCAGGAGCCTGGCGCCTCATCAGGTGTAAGTTCTTTTAATCACTCTTGGCAAATTTATTAAAGACAGAAACACAGTCAATTTGTAACTCATAGTAGCTCTAAGTTTACTTGAATTCCACAATCCCTAACCCATCTGTCCCTGGCAGAAAGAAGGAAAGATAACATGCATGGACAGTGAACAGAAAGGGATGAAAGCCAGGATTCCTGGGATGAACAGACAGTGGCAATTAGGATGTGAAGACAGGTTACAACTTCTTACTATGTCTAAAAACGACTGGAGCAGAAAGCCAGAGAGAATAAGCCTAAAGTCACCCTCCACTCAAAAGCAGTCAAACTCCCTCAAAGGAGTAACTTTTAAAACCTGAATCTAACCTGGAAGGGGCTAAAAAGTCTCTGGTTCTGAGTTTTTTTCCTTAAGGCTCATGAAGCAGATGAACTTATATTTTTATTGCCATTTCAAATCAATTGTTGGCTGCTATAACTTAGGGATTTCAAAAGACTTTTGAAGTTTAGACCTAAATATTGTACTTAATGTAAAATTAATGAAAAATATTTATGGCCAGGGTGGTGGCTTATGCCTGTAATTTCAGAACTTTCAGAGGCTGAGGCAGGCAGATCACCTGAAGTCAGGAGTTTGAGAACAGCCTGGCCAACATGAGGAAACCCCATCTCTACTAATAATACAAAAATTAACTGGGTGTGGTGGCACGCACCTGTAATCCCAGCTACTTGGGAGGCTGAGGCAGGAGAATTGCTTGAACCTGGGAGGCGGAGGTTGCAGTGAGCCAAAATCACACCACTGCACACTCCAGCCTGGCCGACAGAGAAAGACTCCATCTCAAAAAAAAAAAAAGGGAAAAACATTTGCACTTCAATTCTCCTTCAAGTTAAAATGAGTTTAAATGCCTCCTTTTGGACAATCCCCTGGCCTGAATGTGGCTCTTCCCTCTCTGGTGCTGGTGCTTAGTACCACACAGCACCTGACATGTTAAGTGCCCATGGTTGCTGAGGCAGATGCCTGCCTTGTCCTGCCCACCTGCCCACCACTTCTCCCTAAACTGAAGCCCCGCATTTGGAGCAGCCATCTTTATCTTGGACACAGCATTGAGCAGATGCCTGCTCCACAATCAACCTTTTATCAAGAGAAGGTATCAAACCCAGAAGTATAACATCTAATTCTCACCTGAATTTTCAGTGGCTCGATGTGATTCAGGTAAATATGTGCATCTCCCAAGGTGTGTACAAAGTCACCTGGCTATAAACCCGGGGGAGAAAGCAGAACAGTATGTTAGTTTCAATTCCTTTAAAACATCATTTTAAAACATTAGAGTATGCAGACACCTCAAGGCTTTAAAAAAAATAATAATTTAGTGTAGCTTTTCCATTTTTTTGTGGCGACAGGATCTTGTTTTGTTGCCCAGGCTGGTATTGAACTCCAGACCTCAAGTAATTGCTCCTGCCTCAGTCTCCCAAAGTGCTGGGATTACAGGCATGAGCCACCACACCCAACCTCAGCATAGCTTTTGAGAAAATTCATAGAAGCCGTATCACAATATAGATCTGTTAGTGCATATACCACAGGGCCAGAAAACCTTCCAGAAAAGGAAGGTTTCAAAGTAAAAGCCCGTTCACGTCTTACTTACACATGTCAAATTAAAAACTCATCAGAGACTAAACTCTCTGCAATTCGTCTTCCCATATTAAAGAACTGAAGAGCTCAGTGTGTTAGGCTCACAAGTCACCCTTCCCGAGACAGCCCACCTTCAGGCCCGTGATGTGCGCAATCATGTATGTGAGCAGGGCGTAGCTGGCGATGTTGAAAGGCACACCTAGGCCCATGTCTCCTGATCTCTGGTACAGCTGGCAGGACAGCTCACTGTTCACCACATAGAACTGGCAGAGGGCATGGCATGGAGGCAGTGCCATCAGAGGAAGATCTGAGGAACCAGCACAGAGGAAGATAAGGAGGGGTGGTGGTTTGAAAGACCACAGCTAAAAGCCAAGTAAAACAGGAGAAAAACAAGCCAACTCATATGGTGGAGACCAGGAGAGCCACTGGGCTGCAGTGATGTCCATAACCCACAGCCCCTGCAGCAATGGCACGGACCTGAGGGAGACTATCCATTGGCGCAAGCTTTCTGCAGATGTCCGCTGAAGCAATGCTCTTCCATCAGAGCTGAAGGGATCTGGGCTACCTTCGTGGCACCAAATTACAAATACAGCAGGAATAATTCTGTTTGCCACAGGGAACTGGTGCTTCTGGTACACCCTCCTATATTAAAAGTCTCTATTACATGGCCAGGCACAGTGGCTCATGCGTGTAATCCCAACACTGGGACGACCAGGGTAAGCGATCACTTGGAGGCCCAAACTTGAGTTCCGCAAGACCAGCTCGGCAACATAGTGAAACGGGACCGTCTATACTAAAAATACAAAAATTCACGGTGCCTTGTGGTCCAGCTTAACTCCGGCTTGCGGAAGGGCGAAACCCATCCTTTGAAACCTGGGAAGGTTATGGAAGGTATTTGAGCCCCGTGAAGCTGAGAACCAGACACCG